GTTTATCTGACTGGGACACGCGCTCGATCACGAGCGGACGCGAGAGACGAATCGCATTTTCCGCGCATCTCTCGTCGCGCGAGACGACCAGACGCGCTCCCTCGTTAAATCCTAAGCTTTAAAAAGCATCCGAGATTCGTTTGGCCAGGCCAACCGGAGCGGTCACGCGTTCTCGGCGCGCACGTGCTCGATGACGCGCGTAACAGGTGCGGCGGAGGAGCGCCGCTCGCTCGGCGCTGAGTTTGCACAAAATTTGATAGATAAGTCATGTAGCGCGGTCGCCTCGCTTCGACGGGAGACAATGGAGAAGCGGATAATTCGCCGCTTGATTCTGCGTCTCCCTCCAACCGGCTTCGAATCCGGGAGTCCGGGACGTAAATCCATTTATCGTCGCTCGCCGGTCGCCCGGTGACACGTCGTGACGTCGACTCGGTCCGAACAGACCTTTCCGAGGGGGAAAACCGCTGATTAAAATCTTGTACACCAATGCCCACTAATGCCCGGTGGGCATTACTTTATCTTATTTTATCTTTATAATTCCCCAGTAAGGCCTAATGCCCAAAAAATGCCTAATAATGCCTAGTAATGCTAAAAAAATGCCTAATAATCCCTAGTAATGCCGCAAATCTGTACACCACAATGCCCTCAGCGGCTTCGCCTTCAGACTTTTCTTTGCACAGTAAAAAATTAAATGTTAACGTTAACATTTTTCACATGTCCCAAAAAGTCCACTCTAAATTCTACGCTGAAATAGCATTCATCGCGCGTGTTACTTTTTGACAAATTATAAATGTTAAATAATTAACACTATATACTTGACATTTATGTTTATGTTCTCGTAACTCAAAGTGTGACGTGTTATATTTATAAAAACAGACAGGGCAAGTGAACCGTACGAGTAGTTGCAAATTGGAATAGCTAAAATAACTTTTAAGAAATGTCGATATTACATGTCTGTTGATCTCGTGAAATAGTTGTGTTAAAAGAACTCAAAACAATATGCAATTTTTAAATGACGTACATAGTGCCAAGTTATTATAAATATAACACGTAAAAATGTTACGAAGATGCATTATCTATGCGGAAAGAAGTATTACGTGGCACAAGAAACAGCCGACATAGCACAGATAACATTCGAATCTCAGTGAAGCTGACAGTACGATAGTAGCTTCCAAGATAGAAGCTGTGTTAAAATATGAGTTTCTTTAAAGTTATAATTGTATATTTATTCTTAATTATTTTTTTAATAATTAAGGAGGTCCTTGATGTCTTGTTACGTTTCACTATTTCTATCATCTGGGAGCTAAGGCAGATACGCGACCGGATCACCGGTGATAATTTTCACCCGCTTGGCGTTGACAGGTACAGGCCGAACTTCAGAGCTCGTTTCTGAAGAGGATGATCTTCAACATGGGCATGCGGGCGAAGGAGACGGAGATCAAGAAGAGCATCGTGAGGATGAACAGCATGTGGGACAAGATCGTGTTCAAGAAGATCCAGGAGTCGATGGGCGGCAGGCTGAGGCTGATGCTCGTGGGCTCCGCGCCGCTGGCGGGAAGCGTCCTCACGTTCACCAGGTGCGCCCTCGGCTGCGTCGTCGTCGAGGGCTACGGCCAGACGGAGTGCACCGCGCCGATAACGCTCACCATCCAGGTGCGTGTGTGCCCGGCCGGGTCGGTCATCCGGGACTCCGCGACTTTACGGCCGGCTCGTAAATACCCCCCCACGCTCGTTTCCACGAAGCTCTCAAGTCAATTAATTAGACAGTATGGGGTCGCGATATCGTAGCGCGAGTCTTTGTGTACTTTGGACATCTAAATATACCGCACTATCCTTTCATCCTCGTCTTCCCCGCGCTCTCCTCCCCGTTCTTACGTATCGCAATTCTGCGAGCTATTTCAGTCCTACATTTTCCCGTCTATCTGATTTATTCCGTTTGTGTCTCGGTGTTTCCTCCTATACGTGTCTTATCTCCTCTCCTCTGGCTCTAGAAGGAGCCCCCTCGACGGAGATACAATTGCGAATTTTCTCCTTTACGCTCCCTCGGAGGGAAACCGAAGCAAGTAGCGTTTGGTGATTGACGTACGTCTATAAGACCGTTAACATCATACGCAGCAATGTTTAAGGATGATACGTAAATGTAGGTAACGCGAACGTTGTAAAGACTCTTCGATCGGGTGTAGGATATACCAATGGTTATACAAACCGCGGTCAATAGGTGCTTCGTGAATACATTTTTTATGGAAGCCCGTTAAGCGCGAGCGTTAAACGCGCCGCGGCTCGTACGAACTCCGTCCGAAATAAACTCCCCAAGATTTCTTTCTTATATAATATAGCGGCTGCTAACGGAGACACGTTGCTTGCTCTTGTTTATACGTCGCAAAGTACCCGGCCATCGCCGATAAATAACGTCGCGCAGGTCGGATAGCGCCACGTGGAAAGTTTATCGCTTTAGCATGGAGGATCTTATTGATTCTACCGAGTTACAGACCCGGGGACGCGCTCCGAGTGAGAAGCCGAGAGCCCCGTACTTTATCGAGCGCCGTTTGGCACCGCGACAAAATCAGCACTATGCAGAAGCGTCGGGAGCGCAAACATAAAGTACGCGGATCCCCGTTAAAATTCCGCAAATTCCTCACGCGTGCTCGCCCACGGAACGTTTATCCGCTAACCGATTTACGCCGTTATCGGGTTTTTCGTCAACAAACGCAAATTCGCAGTTCCCGGTCACAAATCGGCCGTTACATCGCCGTTGAACGCGCCAGTCCGATTAGCTCGGAACAAAATCGTTCCGACGATTTCCAAGCGCACCTCTTGTATTTACTCGCCGATTGATCGTTGGCGTGGGAAAAAAAACGACTTGTCCTCACCCGATAGATAAAATTACGACGCGGTTTTCTTTTTTACTTTCATTACGAGCGCGTCGCGCGGTTTGAGAGACGCCACCCTAATCACCCGAGCGTAAATCTCCAAGTAATTAATATCGCTTCGCCCTTCATTATGCTTGCGAGAACCGAATGCGTGTCAGGTTCTTAACAGTCTGTAAGGAATCGTGCAGCAAAGTATTCGCAGCTCCTACGCAACGTATAATTTTCGATGTGCTCCGCAAATCGATACTCTTTCTAAAATTAAACAATTTATTACTTTGCTTCGACTTATCCTTCAGCCACTTGGATATAATAGAAATATTTCGCTCTCGACAGGCCAAGTTCGCAGAAAGTAAAAACCAGAAAATAGTTATCTCTTGAACGGCGGAGATGTTTACCGCTGACAGACTGACGGAATTAAAATGATGTTTTTATTGAATGCTGACTAATAATCAAGTGATGCGCGTGCTCGCTCTCTCTCTTTATTCTTGGCGCGAGTATCGACATAAATATATAACCGGCAAAAGCCGCCGCAGTCGTAGATATTTCTGTCAGCTCATCGAATCAAAGCTTTGGAGCCATGTGCCAGGGCACGTGGTGTGCCGCCTCCATCACAAGACCCATCGGTTGCATTCAATTAAATTGTTGTATTCCATTAATCCCTATCGTAGTTCTAATCTAAACATTTCGCACGTAACGCGTACATTGCAAGGCATTAATAGATACGTGTTTAGTTGATCGATACAGTCCTTGTTGAAAATAGGAACGATCTCTTCTGTTAATTTGTTCTAATTTCTTCGTATGAATGCAGGGCGATCACGTGCCGGAGCATGTGGGACCACCGGTGGCTTGCTGTTGCGTCAAGCTCGTCGACGTTCCGGAGATGGAGTACTACGCGGTGAACAACCAGGGTGAGGTGTGCGTCAAGGGTACTAACGTCTTCATGGGATATTACAAGGATCCGGAAAAAACTGCCGAGGTCATCGACGAGCAGGGGTGGCATCACACAGGAGACATCGGCATGTGGCAGCCGGTAAGCAATTACATTTTCCTCGCGATTACATCTATGGCAACTACATGTTGCTAATGTATCTTGAGATCTTTATAAATGATATATATTTTATATTTACGGCAAATACTAAAGCGGATAACCGAAATTCTTGCTCATTTAAAATGAAACCAGATTAAATTAGATTATTAGGTCTCGTGTTATATAAATCCCTTCTTTATATCAATTGACTGAATTGCTTTCAGAATGGAACGTTGAAGATAATCGATCGGAAGAAGCATATCTTCAAGTTGTCGCAAGGGGAATACATCGTGCCGGAGAAAATCGAAAACATTTACATACGCAGCCAGTACGTGCAACAAGTATTCGTCCATGGAGAATCATTGAAATCTTGTATCATAGCAATAGTAATACCAGACGTAGACGTGATCAAGTGCTGGGCGGTGGAGAATGGCATCCCCGGTACACTGAGCGTCCTGTGCGCCAATCCGGAAGTAAAAAAACTGATCTTGGACGATATGTTAGCGTGGGGAAAAGAAGCCGGTCTGAAATCCTTTGAACAGGTACGCGATTCATACGCTTTTTCTATCCTTTTTTTTCCTTTTGCCCGGAAAAAAACTCAGATGTCAAGTTCGTTCAATCTCATCCACCCAGGAGATAAGAGCAAAAAACTGACTTATTGTCCGATGACTTGAGAATCTAACGATAACTTGATTCATCGATTATTTGCCTTGCAGGCGAAAGATATCTATCTCCATCCAGACCCGTTCTCCGTACAAAATGGGCTCCTAACACCAACGCTGAAATCGAAACGGCCTCAACTGAAAGCGTACTTCAAACCACAGATAGAAGATCTCTATCAACAGTTGGACTGACCAGACTGAGCGACTGTGCTATCGCTCGTCCGCACCAGCACTGAACGTAAAGAAGATGGTTCGATGGTAGAGATGGAAGCAAAAGCGCCTTTCCTCGCAGCCGTTCTCTCACCGACGTCACTATTGTCATCGAATATTCGTTAATCCTCGATACTTTTATTATATTATCATTTTCACAGGTACATTAGGGATGCAGACGGAAAAAAAGCACCGTTTAGGCTAATTAAAGGTAAATGATAACATAACAAGTAATAAAAGGAGTTATTATTAGGCGCGTCTAGTTTCTCTCTTTCTCTCAATTACAAGTATCCTTTGATATTTTCGGTGATGGATGTATTTACAATTCGATCCTTACCCACGCATACTTCAATAATGTACACAGTGACTGTTGTTATTCTCGTATAAGAGACGAATTATAGAATGCATTTTTAAACTGGTAGAGTCCGTCGCAGTGAACTCGCCCGATTACGGCTCAGGTCAAAATTACAACAATTACAAGTAGTTGTTAACTTGAACAGGTAATATTTCCTTGGATATTACCCTGACGAGGTAATATTTCCATGTGCCCGATAATCGGCGCACGCAAACGTCAAAAACCTTGAATATTAATTAATAAATACATTTCTTGTTGAATATATTTTGTGGTTCGGAATATTTTTAGAAGCTTGAACGCAGAGCAATGTTAACTGCTGATCAAGATTCCGGGATGCCGCTCGGATAACAATATTCAAACGGTTTTACGATCCCATCCGATGTACTTGAAAAATAATGTATTTGATAATTATTCGCTCTACTTCAATACAGTTTCAGTTGTAGTTTACTCTGACGCGCGAATGGAAGAGGATCGTAAAACCGTTTTAAAATTTACCTTACAAGGATGGGTCAATATTTTTTTATACAAGACTTTACATTGAACTTGGGGTCCTTTTGCTCTTGTTTGATAACATTCTGCCAATTTTGCTTACTCGCCTGAGTCTCGGCTCTGTACAAGAGCTCAGTCGGTCGAACGGCTGATCGAGTCGGCGAGAGAATAAATGTGTAGCAAAGATCGTGTCCCCCGAGGCAAAATGTGACAAACAAGTTCGAAAGTTGGCTAGACGATATAGTACAGAATTATCTCGCAATTTGATAGAAATAACATTTTGAAGTCTCTGATAATAAATATGACTTCCAAACCACATAAGGTGGATCTGGCCGAAGAAAAAGAAAGATGTCTATTCTTTAACTCTTAAAACTATAGTATATCACAATGCACGCGACGATTATAAGTACTAACGCTACTCCTGCCAAAATCATTCTCTGTTGAAGGCTCCGAAAGATCATTCCCGATAATAACCGAGACCCTCGTCCCAATTCCGCGTCTGTTTCACGTAACTGAAACAAAGGATAACATTGCGACTTCGTGCTCTCCTCTTCAAATGTGATTCACGTAAATCTAACACGATCTTACTCTCCCCCTGCTTCGTTGTATCGTCTCTCGCTGGTCGTGGAGCTCCTTCAGCACTTCGGAGCCAATCTCCTCCGTCTCCAACGCCATGCGATAGCCATTCTGTAATGTTCGCCCCGACCGTTCTATTCTCTCAGAAGCGTCCAACAGTCTTTTCCTCTGGTCTTCCGTCACGTTATTGTCCCAAGACTCCTCCACCGTGATCTCCATAACGTCATCCCTCGGTTTCTTTGCAGCTTGAAACTCCTGCGTCAAGCGCTTCAGTTCCGCTCTGTGACTCTCCACGCGACCGCGCAGGCGATCGCGTGCCGTTCCGTTCATCCCGCGAACCTCCAGCTCCATTTGCTCCAACTTTACAAATTACAGGTGATCTCTCATTTAAATATTTTATAACGGAACATCTCGAACGAGGACGAAGTTAAAAGTATACGTTGACACGATTATTTCAGATTCTATCAATCTTTTGCTACTTAAAATTTATAAGTTCTAAATGCTATGCATTTCGTTGCTTTAGTGGAAATTAATTTGATGAGATTTCATAATCTTTTAGTGCTTAACTTTGAACATTTCTGTAAAGTTTAAATACATTTGAATCTTCCAACGATATACTTAAAATATTTCAAAGTGTTGTGAAGGCTTCCAGAAAGGAAAGAGTGCCGATGTGAGCCACAAAATGAACGGAAATCGGTTCTCACAAATTAGAAACAAAATTTCTCTCTAATAAACGTTTCGACCCTCCTCCGGGTCTTCCTCAGAAAAGCTCGTTTAAATCGAATAAAGCGTATCTTAAGGGGGTCAGAGCAGTATGTGACTTGAGAATCATTCCTCTATCGACGCTAATATCAGTGTATCTCTAAATGGTCCCAAACATAAAGAGGACTGAATAACTCAAGTCGACAGAGGGATGAATCCGTTACGATAGTGTTAACACGACTGTGATTCATTTAAAGTTGCGCGAAAAGTAAAACTTTGTCTATGGGCTTGTTTTCTGTTCCTGCACTGGTGAACTAGTGCAGTAAGCTAGAATGAGAAAAAATATACTTGTCTTACTCCAATTTATTGCACTAGTTCACCAGTGCAGGAACAGAAAACAAGCCCTATATGTACAACCTTGGCCAAAATTATTAGCCACTCTCGTCATACTAGACTGAATCCAATACCACAAAGATTTCTATTCCTTAAAAGTTTACTAGAGTGTTTATTGCTTCTGTACAGTAAACAGCTTTCAAATTGAACAAAAATCTCTCCTGGCATTACACTCAATGTAAAACGATTGCGAATGTAGATTTGACTAAGGTCAAGTTAAAGTGTTAAAAATCAATGAGCTTAGAAACAATAGTCTCATTTCGTTCACAAAAAAAAAAACACTTCAAGTTGATCCGATTCACATGAGAATAAACGCAAACCGCCTAGAGTGTTTGTTATGCATCAAAGCTTTTGCAAGCTAATAAAAAACTGTTTAAATAATCCACAGTATGCAAATCGAGCATTAATGACCTCGGGTTTAACTGCTCATAATGAACGTATTATTCGCAACGAGCAAACCAGTTTCCCCACAATCAATATTCAGTTAATGTCAGTATCGGGCGACACCGGACGTTGCCGTGACGTGCTGCGTCTCGATTCTCCGAGGGAAGGGAGCCGTACGCGGTTCGCGAGGTGCGAAATGACTTTTTCTAACCCCGCCGTCGCGCGACCGATCGTCTGGCAGTTCGGCGGGTCGGGAGGCCTCCGATCCGATCGCGGACGGGTAGGCGCCGCAAAATTCAATTACCAGCTCCTGCGCCTCCTCGATCTGCCGGTCGACATCCTGGACGAAGGCTCTTTTCTCGCCTGCAAATTACGTCACTTGTATCGATTATCGCTCCTTAAACGCCGACCTGGCGCGGCGCGACGCGCGCCGGCTGTCGCGCGGGGCGCGCGACACCCCGTCGGCCGCCGGCCCCGGCGACGTTCCTTACCGCCACTCTGAATCCTGATCCGGCCGATCTTCGCGGTGATGTCAGCTGTCAGAACGGCGTACTGCTGCTCGTAGTTGTCAACGAGCGACGCCATCTTGGGCACACGAGCGTGCCATCGACCACCGACGCGAACCAGATGGCGATCCCAACTGCGGAGCGAGCCCGCGGCGGTGACAAGGCGGTATCGCAAATCGCAACCGCGCGGGAGGGAAAGACACGATCTCTCCTCCCCACTCTTGACCTTATCACGGAGATCATCGTGAGATCGATTCGTTAACTCGCTCTTCCACTTTGATTCGACGCGCCTCGTTTCAGACAAAAAAATGATCGAGCAGATTGCTCTGGAAACCGGTAAAAAATAAAGTCGGAGATCGCGCAATTTTACACAAGTGCGTTTATCTCGTAATGGTTAATGCAGTAATTTGCAAAAAGCGGCAGCTAATTTTATTCCCCTCCACTTCCTCGCAAAAAGTAGCATAAAGCCGCTATACGTGCACCTTTGCTGGCTAGTGAGAGCTAGAGACCCTCAAGGGAGAGTCTGGAAAACGTCCGCCATTATGCATCAAATCTAGTAACTTTCAGTTCAGTTTTAATTTTTTTTTATCATCTACACGAATTATTTCCCACGAGACATCTGAAAACTGTGCCTATAAATATACAAATTTTATTAAATGACTCTAGCCTGACTCTGAAGTCTATCACACAATGCCAGGCAACAGGGCTGCTTTCGCGAGAAGATCAAAATGATCCGGATTAAAATGACCCTATGCTATGATTGGTCAAATCTGAAATTTCGTAGCATCACATTGAAATTTTATTCAATGAAATTCCAGATTTGACCAATCATAGCACAGGGTCATTTTAATCCGGATCATTTTGATCTTCTCGTGAAAGCAGCTCAGGCAACAGGAACAGGTAGAGCTATTAGATAAAGGGGAGCTGACTCGTCCGCCATCTTGGAG